CTTTTTGACTTAATCGCCCCTGAAATTTCTCAAACCGCTTTGTACAATTTAAGAAATAGTAACGACTTTCGACTTTTGTTACAATTTACTAATAGGTTTAGTAGATCCTTTATACCCTATTGTTTAAGTCATTGGAATGAACTGGACCTGGAAGTTCGTTCTTTACGATACTCCTTGTTCCGAAAACACCTTATTAGATTAGTACGCCCCCTTTGTCCCCCACATCACAATTGTGGCCCCCGTTACACCTGCGCCCTTCTTGTTCGGCTCCGCATCGGCACCTGTGCTCTCAATCACAGTTTGTTTACCCGAGGACTCTCCACCAGTGCCTCTTGTAGATGCGGGTGTCGTTGCGAATCTGTCATGCACTTCATGCTACATTGTCCATTATACAATAATGAGAGATAGGAACTTTTTGGCAATCTTGCAGATTTACTTGGTCATCTTGTCAACCTTAATAATATGTCAGATAATGCTAAACTGCACTTCATTCTTAGAGGCTCCTCAATGTTACCCTCTATGTACAACTTTAAAACGATGCAATTCACTCAGGTTTACATTGGAGATACCAAGCGCTTCTAGCTCTGCTTGACTGTTTCTAACAGTCAATCAGATATAGAAGTCCAAATACTACGTAAGTGTTAATGGGCCTAAATTCTCCTCCTAGCTCTGATTGGCGGATGTTTTTCCGCCAATGAGATATAGGAGGTTACCATGTAATCTTATCTTTCAAATAGCTCTGTTAGCATTTAATTTAATATTTTAATGTCTTGGGGTGGTGGGACTACGGCGCACATGTCAACTTTGTATATTTAAATGTTAATTGTACCTTTTTTGTGTGTGGCGCTGTTAATATAAGTTGTTAACTTGAGTGCAGCGTCACACTGTCCTTGTTATGTCTATATGTTTTGATGAATAAAAAAAAAAAAAGCACGTACGGCGAGTTGTGACCGTAGCTTTACACAATTTTATAGTGGTGTATGCCAAACTATGTCTTGAGTTCATTTGGCATTTGCCTAAGACACATCTATAACAAATTTCAGGTCGTTTGGTTTGAATACAAGGGCATAAAAGCATTTTGTCTGTAAAGAGCAGAAAGAGCACAAATTCAAAGTAGTGTTTACCAAAAATGTGAGTATAGTTCTTTGGACATACGTCAAAGGCACTCCTATACCAAATTTTAGGTCATTTGGTTGTAATATTAGGTCACAGGAGCCAAAAATGTACATTTTTTGTCTGAAAATAGCAGAAAAGACCTGTTTCACACCATTTTCAAGTGATGTTTGCCAAAGCTGCAAATGTCATTCTTTGAGCATATGCTCAAGGCACCCCCGTACCAAATGACGTATTTCCGTAGAAAGACATGGTACAGGCTAGGTAAATATTAATACTGTGTTGTTTCGTTCACAAAAAGACTCTCTGACCACTTTAACTACTATAATCATCTTCAAAAAACCTACACTATAAAACACACAACACCCACCAAAACAATATCACACTGTCGAAGGCATGAGACCTCCGAACACTAGTTTATCATGTATATATGGGGAGGGGCTAGGCTAGCGTTTTAGTCATTACAAGTAGTGAGCTAATGCTCCCCAGCACAAAATGCCAAATGTGTTCCAGCTCGAACTACACAACTGATGTTGTAGGTACATGTAGGTGAACCAGGTAAGTTTTTTTTTTTAAATCTGAATGTCACTTTGACAAGACATAGCTCTGAATGTATAAAAAAATTATTACAACACATACGTCTTCTTTCCTTTGTAAGTGTCCACGAATACTGACAGCGATGTGTACAACGAGAAGCGCCGAGAACAGGTTGAGAACAAGCGCACGCCCGAGTACTGGACCGACCTGCGCGGGCGTAAAAAAAAAGAAAATAGTTAAAAAAAACCTCCTGTCTCTCTTGTCTAGTTTTCACTCATTTTTGATTTTGTTATACCCCAATTGAAAACGGGCGTCCCTCGCCGCCGCTCTCCGCCTGCAGACCTTAAACACGAACGTGGCCAAGAACGTGGTGCTGTTCCTGGGAGACGGGATGGGCGTCTCCACGGTAACCACGGCCCGGATCCTGAAGGGACAAAAGGCGGGAAACCCGGGAGAGGAGACCGTGTTGGCCATGGACTCTCTACCGTACACCGCCATGTCGAAGGTCAGCGATACCGTATTGTACCATGTGACCTAGTGTGCACAGCTCAGATATTTGACTGTTTGTCAACGTAATAACTTCACAACGCAACAAGCAATTTTGAATTGATTAAGTGATTTTATAACAAAAGTCCAAATTGAGGAACATCCATGCATACATAAATAAGTCTATCAAACACATTTGGACACTTACACCTTCCTATAAAGTATGCCACTTCATTTGCAATGTTTCTGAACTACAAATAAATTTGCTCTCTATTTTCAGACGTACAACATCGACCTACAGGTTCCAGACTCAGCTGCATGTGCCACGGCGTTCCTCTGTGGCGTCAAGACCAACCAAGGACTGGTCGGACTGGACGGGCGAGCGACGTCTAAAAACTGCAGTTCCGCCAAGGGTCACGAGGTGGCGTCCATTCTCGAGCACGCCGAGAGAGCAGGTAGGCAACCTAACCATTATGTCCTCGTGCGCTTTTAAGTCTTGTTGTCGGTCCCCACCAGAGAAAGCAGGCAAGCTGATAGCAATTCTTTGTCATGGTTACTCATTCGTCCATCGTTTTTATGGTCACCGCCACTTCAAACGTAGAGACATTCATGATAAAACGCAACAAAACCCAATACAGCAAACACTATCTGTCTGTCATGCTTAGGAAAGTCGACAGGAATCGTCACCACCGCCCGGGTGACCCACGCCACGCCGGCGGCGGCCCACTCCGCCGCACGCGGCTGGGAGGCCGACAGCGACCTGACCGCCGAGGCCCGGGACAACAATTTCACCGACATCGCCTATCAACTGGTGGAGGAAGCGCCCGATATAGAGGTAGGAACTGTCAGGGTGCGAGCTCACACAGGCTCTGGTCTGTTCGCTCACTCAGTGGTTTATTTGTTGGATTAGGAAAGGACCAGGCTTTATGTCACTATATAAGAATGTACAAGGAAATGTCGGAAGCATTCTAAAACTGCTTCAGTCAGTTTGATGTTGTGTATTTCAGGTGATATTGGGAGGAGGCCGTCGGGCCTTTCTAACAAACAACATGACGCGGACCCTGAAGACGGGACGAGGGGACACAGGACCGACAGCAGGGATCTGACCCGGCGATGGCTGGACAGAAAACCCGGCCCGGCCCGGTACGTCTGGAACCAGACGGAATTCAACAGCGTGGATCCGGAGTCAGTGGATTATCTCGTCGGCCGTTTGTTTAACTAGACAATAAAAGAACCTTCAACGTCATGAGACAACCTTTTCCGTCACTTTGATTGGAATCCGGACGCATGATGGCGTCAAGATTGGCTGAAAGACGGAATCTACCACCGTCCCCTCTATTGTGTTGGACCTATTAAGCTTAAATTTTGCAACTGTGGATATTCTCCAAAATCAAACGAAAAAAAGACGAAATTGTAAAGAAATGAACTTGAAGACTAGATTATTCGCCAAACCATATTCTGTGCCATTTCCTCAACCCTCATGACCACGTCGTAGATTTCATAACGAAAAGAACTTTTTTTTTTTGCAAAACTTTTTTTATTCGCACGCGCGCATCAGTTTTGGGGCTCCCGGAGGACCACGTGATGTGGTCCTGTAACGAAGTGTTGCTCACATGGACATGGGTGGAGGGCTTCATCAGAAGATGGGTATTGTCTGATTTCAGGATCAATAGACATATGGTCACCTTTGGTATTGTTCCAACCACCTGGCCAAAGTGCAAGAAAGATGTCATCATCTACATCATCGCTGTCACGAGGAAACGTATTTGGTCCTCGAGATGTGAGGCACTCTTTGACAAAACGTTTGTAACCCACGTTGAGATAGTTCCGTACATCAAGGAGTGCCTTCGCTCAAGACTGAAGCTAGACTTTGTACGCCTCGGTGAGGCAGCCTTCCTAGCACAGTGGTGCTCTTGGGCGAAGGTCGTAGGGGGAAAACTACGCTTGCGGTTTTAACCCCCCGTTCCCTTCTAGTCGTATCAGTCTTTTGTTGTGAAATGTCTGTCTTTTATGTCATTATTTTATTTTGATGTGTCAAGTTGGCAGGAGTGGGTTGGTGGGAGCACTTGGACAGTAACCTGTCGTGGGTAGCTTGGCACATCCTTTTTCTATTCCCCTTCCTTTGTCTATGTCTCTGTCACGTCGAAAAGTTGAAAAAAAAAGAAAATAGTTAAAAAAAACCTCCTGTCTCTCTTGTCTAGTTTTTGTCTAGATTTTGTTATACCCCAATTAAAAACGGGATGTCATCTATATAATCAAATCAACATGGCCTAAACTTGAATATTGCGACTTAAAACTAGTTCTTGTCTGCACAGGTCTGTTTGAACCAAACCACATGCGGTACTCCGTAGACAGGACTAACGACACGGCAGGGGAGCCCAGTCTCGCTGACATGACCGGGAAGGCGATACAAATCCTGCAGAAGAACCAGAATGGATTCTTCCTGCTGGTGGAGGGTATGTCATAGCGGAGTCATGTCGTTGCAGCCGGAAAGCCACGTACTGAATCGAACGCTTTTCGAACGAGTTTTCTTTGCAGAGCGTATCACTCCGCCGTCCATAGCAACGCCGTTGCTAAGGACGACGTTTTCGCGGGCGGCGGGCTGAAATTTCATCCGAGTTGTTGACAGCCGATTACATCACCAGTTTCGGCCTCTGCATCAAGATGGCGGTACGTATCAGATGTGTATATCATGTGCTCTCTGTACTAACCATATTTGAGGGGTATTCTATGAGTTTTAGTGTAGTTTTGTGATCAAACTCGGTGTACAGTGAAATGAACAAAATGGCCACCCTGGACTGATCTGAATTTTCGTCTCATTTGAATTTCGGGGGAAACCCGTTTCGCACTTGATTTTGCATATGACGATATGTGGATAAAATGTGTTGAACCTTTGGCTTTCTCCCATTATGAATATCCTGTTGGTGCGAAGTCTGCATATATTTGCAATTCCATGCCAACTGGGGTCACTTTTTTCTGCAATTTTATGGCTAAACCTCATCGTTTGTCGTTTGACTTTATTTCGGTCAATGTTGAATAATTTGCGTATATGTGCTTCATTTCTTGTAAACATCATGTTAGTGGTAAAATCGTTTCCGGTGAACTAATCTAGTCTAAGTTTAGACCCAGACTCTTGGTCGTTAGATCTTTACGAGGGCAGATTGAATTCTAAATACTGTAGTTAATGTTGTACTTGAGTCTTATCGATCACGAACTTTGTAAAAGAAATCATCCCTTCTGTGTGTGTTTGTGCAAAAAATTCCCGCCAACTTTATCACGTGATGTCTGGTTGTCATACAAGAACAACAAAGCTGCATGACTGCTGCAAATTGTTACAATGTCTTGTCATGGTGTCTAAAGTTACAGCAAGACAAGTATTGTACCTTCTATCTAGTGCTCGATGATATTAAAAAAACAGTGCACAATATACATGTTTATATGCAGCTTGTGGCATTTGTAAAAATTATAAATGGTTGAGCATGTATATCATTGATGATTAAATAAAGCTAACATTCATTTCAGTATTGAATTAGGAAAAAGATGTCAAGGGGAATTTTTATTTCTGTTTCAGATCATCCTAGGCTTCACCGACTGTAAAATTGGTAAGTATCTGGCAAACCATGTCAAACTCTCTCCTGGCATCTTTAAAAAATTAGTAGGAAAATTGAAAGAAAAAGTTCAAGGACAAAGTGGGAATGCACTCAGGTTATACAGTCACTTACTTTGATAACAGCCCCACTTGACACTTAACACTAAACAAGTACAACCAATACAACTAAGAATAAAAGAACAAAATTGTGCTAGTGTTGGAGTTTGAGGAAGACCCTAGCCCCTAAAATCTACCTCAGATAGCATTGCACCAGGTTTCTTGTAAGGTTGGAGAAATCTTTTTCGAAAGTAAACCAATACTTCTTGTGGATGCCTGTGATCTTTATGTAGAAATGTAAACGAGTTAAAGAAAAGATTTGAATGTAAAAGTCAAAGTAATGTACTGATTATGACACATTCTACTGTGGTTGGACTTAAGTTTGCAAAGTCTTAAGACTTAAGTCTTAAGACTTAAGTTTGCAAAGTCCCTCCTTAACTCCCCTTCGTTCCGACATTGGTTACCCCCATCCCGCTCAGATATTCATGGCAGATGCCTGAAGGGGGCAAACCAAGTCGACATCCCCTTGACGAAAACAAAGCGGTATAAAACGAGCCCAATCCCCCATTTCACTGATTTGTTAAATAAGCAGACCTAGGTTGAATTCTCCCAGTACCGGACCAATATAGTTTTTAATCAATAGATACTTCTGATCTATATCTGTGTACAGCCAGTATTTGTTTATGTTGGTATCTAGTTTGTCAATGTCCTTTGTTTGTTTAGCTCTCCTTATTGTTTAATTGTTTTTAAACCTGTGTACGTAATTCAGCGGTATTGTACGCTGCCATGTACAAGGAGTGTTGCCAATAAACTATTATTATTATAAATGATTAAGGAAACTTTATTTTGGTTCACAAAAGTTCTAAAACCAAACATAGTTTAATGTTATACTATAGATATTGTGATATTATAGAATCCCTTCATTTAGTATTGTATTCTGCAAGAGTTAACTCTCCAAAATATGATCAAGAGTCTAGTTTTGCTTCTATGCTAAAAGATTTAAAGGATAGTATCAATTCTGGCACCTGGCCATCATTTTTATATATGAATACTATTATTCATCAAGAATCCTCCAAATTTATTCCATTTGATAAATACCAACCCACAGCATGAAAGTGACCTGTTCCAAATTTCTAAAGAAACAAATCCTGTTGTTTGCAATTTTATTGTTGTGTTAACTATGCAAAAGTATGAAATTTCTTTTTCTGATTTTGAAACTTTGGACATTTCTTTATAGCTCTAATTTTTAGGAGACTTTTCACGTCTTCCATAATTTTTTTTGTCTCTGAAGGCCAGTGTAGTTTATCCTTTTCATATGATAAATTATGCATTGATTTATTCCTATAGCCAATCTGATGATTTAATGCAATTAACTCTGAAATTGCCTTGGTGAGAGTTATTTTAGTGATTCTCATAAACATTTATTTCTGGGGTTTTGGATAAATTGACTTTGGAAGAGTTTGCATAGCTTGACAAAAGATTCTTTTACTGTAACTTCAATATAGTAGACAACATAAATAGTGGTAGCCCCTATGCAACTGTTACTGGAAGTCCCAGTGGGAGGATTGGGATTTCTATACAAGCTGTACAGTCCAAATCTAAATTACTTATTTCTTCTATGCCAACTTTAACATTTCATTCTGAATATTTTAATTTAGTCCATATTGATCAAAATTGGGAAATTCATGATGATTCAGAAAGACTTTTAACTAGTGAGGATCAGGATGTTAATTTCATAGATGACATTTACATAGGCAGCTTGTCTGCATTGAATAACATTTCAGATTCAGAATTCTCTGATGTTGATTAATGAGTGAATTGGGTTTAATTTGGTGTCATATCATTCTTAATTATTTTTTCTTATTCTTCCATCTTGCAGGTGAAAGTCATGCCCAACAGGATTGTCACCAGCAGGATACCAGGATGTTATATTTAGCTTGAGATTATGGATATATATATAAGATGTATTATGTACAGAGATCTTAATCCCCATTTATTTTGTTTATTGTAATGTTAATACAATTTGGGAGCGTATTTAATATTCGATTCAGCATCCAATGTCTACTCTAACTTTCAAGCATGTGTTAAGTAATATACATGTATGTACTGTAAAAGATCCCCAATGTAATGAGACTTTGATATCACAAGTATTTGATATCCCAATCCACAACAAAATGTACTACTTTGTTATTTGGTAATGAGATAAATGTTAAAGCAACCTTAATGGCTCTTTGGTAATTTTGTGTATAATTGATTAATCAATATAAAGGACAATTAACATGTATGTGAGAGAGATATGTTTAGGGATTTCCCAAGGCCCAGCACTTTTAGAAATAAACAAGTGCTACTCTGTAAAACTAGGGACATGAGGACCTGTTATCTTATTACAGTAAGCAGTACACATGGACTATACATGTAGATTGGATATAACAGATCCAGGATAAACTTACCAATAATCACAACATACAATGTACATGTTGCACTGTCCTGATTAGGGACCATAATTGTTGGGTTATCTTCAGGCTACATTTTACTGAACCAGCAGGTGGATACATGTAACTTTTCTAAAGTAACTGTTTAAACCCAGTGCCATTCAAATCGAGAAAAACGGATACAATTATTATTCTTTGAATTACCCCAATCATAAATCAATGTGTGAGGTATTCTAGTTCTAATGGTCCGCTTGCTATAATTAATTTTTCAAAGGTCAGGAAGCTACGAGAGTATAATGTTTCCCCGCGTTTAGGCAGACGCTGGTTTCGAGTTTTCAGATCGGCCGTAGCTATCAAGGGACCAGAAACATATATTCTCAGTGCAAAATCAAAAGAACCTGTTTAGATATGAGATGAATTAACACCCAGTGTGGTCTAACTAAAAGTAGTTTAGACATAGATAGACAATAATTTAAATCTAGCGATGTATGGTCATGTATAGGACATGTAGGAGAGGAGCGCGCTCCGTAGAACACACGTAGCTTAGACACCGTACCGGCGCGCCAGGGATGCGCGTTCTATTTGGTGTAAATTTCTGCCTTTTCCTGTACATGGCCTGACGGAATTTCGGGGGAAACCCGTTTCTCCCTCGAAATCAAAAGTAAGTCAACTACTATCAGAAAGTTTAAGATTTGCTCTTTCTCAGCCAACAAAATTTCCTCTTGGCGCGAAATCTGCATCAAGGCGAAAATACACGGGGAAATTGCACTAAAATTGCTTGCCTACTCCCGTGACATGGCCTTACCGAATTTCGGGGGAAACCCGTTTCGCACTCGAAATTGAATATAAGTCAAATATCATCAGAAAGTTTAAGATTTGCTCTTTCTCAGCCAACAAATTTTCCTGTTTGGGTGCGAAAATCTGCATCAAGGTGAAAATACACGGGGGAAATTGCACTAAAATTGCCTAGTTTCAGGTCATGATATCGAAAGGGGAAAGGTACATTCTCGGCTCCAAAATTCATTGGAAGCAAATTAGGAAGGCTAAATATTATTAATAAGTTACAATAAGGAAGATATGTGATTGTATAATCCCGCGGTAAGCTTTCTTGTGAGGCGAGTCGACGCCCGGAGCCGTGGAACGGACTACTTTCTCTCGCGGAAGGAAAAGAGAAACGCATAGAACTCTCGACGTGGCTTTCCGGCTGGTTGTGTGCATGTTGCAAGTTCTTCTTCTGGATTGTAGTGAACAGGTCAACACACAGGACTTTTGTGGAGCATCGTGTTTTTTTTGTGTTTCCTCCAGGACTCTAACTCCGGAGTGAGGTTCTTGGGTTGGACTATTCTACTTCTAAGATGGGGGGGGTGTAACAGGACTAGTCTACTTCTAAAATAGGGAGTTCATGGACAAATGTTATACAGTGGGTTGAACAGTGCAACATTCTTGAGAATTGCATTGCCATCTTGGTATGAATTTTCTTTGTGTTTGGTTAGGTGCTATATATTCGAATATTCGACCACTTTGCTTGGTTGGATCAAACATTTACGTTCAAGAGATATACCAGGCCTGAAATATACAATATGAGTTTGTTACTATGTTTCCAGGAGGTCGGATTGACCACGCCCACCACTCATCCAAGGCGGTCAAAGCTCTAGAGGACACCGTGGCACTTGATGACGCTGTACAGGTAAGGAGAGAACTGCGGATTTAGCGATATAACTCTTGAAGGCATTATTCGACGTCCGTGATTTTTGGCAGGCAGATTACCGTTGTGAACTTTGAACTTTATTTCTTTGCTTTTGGCCACCTTGGGCTACAGCAATACAGTTTTAAAATCACAATTAATTAATACAAAACAAGAGACATTACACTAAATACACCAATTACGTTAAAACAATACATTTCATAAAAACATCTGTACAAACAAATACAAAATACTAAGCAAGACCAGAATATAAAACCAATTTACAAGGATGTCTACTCAACTATCATTTAAGGAAATCATATCTTGATTCAAATGCAGTGTACAGATACTTCCCCAACTGTCTTGTAAGAGAAACAGTTGGGCCGGCCAACAAAGCTACAAATTTGTGGGGATCAGGGCTCTGTGCATAAAAATCGGGAAGTAGTCGCTTCCTTAGCTTGTTATAAAAAGGACATTCAAGTACAAAGTGATATTCATCTTCTATGACCCCTTCACCACATAATTGACATAATCTATCCCTTTTTTCTGTTTTCGTATGTCTTCCCTTTTCTATATTCAATGTATGCGCCGAGCATCTAAGCCGCGCCATCGCATGTCTGTGGTGAGGATTATTTATTACTGTAAGATAACTTTCGACGACAAATCTGGTATTTACCATGCTGTAGGTGGCCAGGCGGTGACTGACTGCGACATCACTTTCCCAACAATCGATTGCCTGTTTTGTTAATCGCTTTTTGAGAATCCCAAGAAATGTTTCTTTGTTTCCCACACTTTGTTGGAGCCACGCCTCACCCAGGCCAACACTGAGCAACAGATCGCGTACGTTACTCACCCAGTCTCCCCTGCCCACCTGCTGCAATTCAAGTAACATATTGTAGCATTTTTTAGAGTATCTAGTCTCACTAATTTCTAGTAATTTCAACCAAAATTTCACAATTCTTATTCGTCTCAGAACACAGAGGGGGTGTCTACCGAGCTCCCCTCTCACTGCCGTATTAGGTGTAGATTGCCTGACACCTAGGAAAAATTTGCAAAATTTGGTGTGTAGAATTTCTAGTTGATTAGCTTTATGAAATCCCCATAGTTAACAGCAATACATCATGATCGGAAGGATCAGTGTGTCAAACAATTTAAACGTCAAATCTGGGGGTAACACACCAAATTTAGCAAGATTTCTTTTCAACAAGAATAAAGCCTTAGACGCCTGAGCAGCTAATGTCTCTTGGGCCCTAAACCATCCACCACTTGTGGAGGCCATTACTAAGTGCAAGTTTGGGCTTCGTGGGGGTCCGTACGTCACTGCAGTGGACTTTTTTGTGTTTGTGGCTTCTTAGCAAATAACTCGAGTATATTTAAACAGATGTTCATGATTTTTGGTAGGCAATCTACCATTGTAGAGGCCAAGGTCAAGTTCGAAAACGGGCCTCGTGGGGGGTCTCTATGTCGCTGCAGTGGACTTTTTGTGTGAGATATATAATGAACTACCCCAACCACCCTCTGTATTGATTCACATGGGGGATTCACATGGGGGACAGCTGTCCCCGCCGCATCTGGTATCAATTGCTTACAATAGAGGGGCTGTCCTATAAATACTGTGGAGGGAGGGGAGGAAAAAGGTGGACATACGTCAGGCAGGTCATTCCCTAAATTATAAGGCCAGACCAAGTAATTTTTATGGATTACGTCCACTGGAGACCTTAAATTCATTGCAAAAGCGTGATAAAATACATGAAGGCCAAAAAAACCTGATTAACATGCAAACATTTGGAACATACTAACTGTGGAAATACAAAGGTTAGCACGAAAATTAAATAAAAGAACATAGTGTAACAACAAACAGCAATAAATCTCCCCCTGTTCTGATTCTTTCCTTTCATCACATTCATGTCGTAGAATTTTAAAAAAAGGGGAAAAAGGAGTACAGAGATTCTTTTGTACTCCAGACCAAATTGATTTCTAGTATTAAAAAACGTTCCTTTATCTACAACAATGTCCCTCTGACGAAGGCATGAGATCTCCGACCTCTACTTCCGAAATGCTTTTGAAGCTACAAGACACTTTAGATTTTGCCTCATTTCTGCGGCTTCCTTTTTGCAACTGTGTCTCATATTTATTAGCTTTGAAGCACAGTGGCCTCGAGCCTTGTTTTTTTTTACCAAAACGCGTGTGTCCAGTTACAGCATCGTCGGTGCCTTCTGCTTTCAGGTATCATGAGAAGCGTACAGTAATTACAGGATGGGGGAGTTGCTGCGAGCAATATCAGCAGTGATGTTTTCAATACCATTTATAGGCATCATATTCTCTATGGTTTGACATCCAATAGGAATGTATCAAACGCATCTGTTCAAGTGACGGTTGCCGTGGGGGAGTGAAACTGTGGTAACACTGACGTACATAGTAGCAAAGAAAAAAACACAATCTAGAATCGTCAATGCTTTATTAACCAGTTGTCAGGCGCGGCTGGTACATCACTGTAGCTGTCCGTCTTCTGGGTATCCAGAGACAAGGTGGAAAGCTCCATTTTATCGATTCTTACGACGAGCGGCAACGTACGTGTCTTCAGTGAGCATCGCAAAATGAACGGCAGCACGGGGAACCTCACCGGGGGAAACTCCACGGTGTACGAGAGTTTCTGGCCGTGTTTTCTCTGGCACACGGAAAACAAGCTGGAGTACGACCAGGCCGTATCTGCGTGCTCTCATCTTCCCGATCTGCTTCTGACCGAGAACAAGAAAGTCGGGATCGCCTCCGCCGCTGTCGGGACAGTCGCTCTCCTCATGAACGTCGTGGTTTTGTCCGGAGTGCTGAAAAACCATCAACTGTCTAAACCCATGTTCATGTTTGTGGCAAACCTGGCTGTAGCGGACTGCTGACGGATCGTCGTGATTTTTGGTATGTAGGTAGCTTACGTGATGCTTAATATAAGTATGTGATAATTATGCAAATATGGATGTAATTTGCATAATTTATGGGGAAATTCTATAAATCAGCTGCATTCCATGATAGGATATTGAAGCTTGTGACATTGGTAATTGACAACGAGAGAAACACAGGAAGATATTGATTATGTTAATAATGGCTTAATTTGCATAACTAATGAGAAAATTTTATAATTATGTAATGATAACTGCCTGGAATTTCATACTTGTGGTATTTGAAAGTTAAATTGAGGTGAATATCATTAAACATAATTTATTCAAATCAGGACCTCATTTGCATAATTTATTAGGAAATGCTAGAATGCATTGTTTGTTAATATAAGACTGTCTTTTGGTTGAGATTATGATAAAATGATATAATTCATGAAAATTAGGTTCCTATTTCTTAAATCAGGGGGGAATAATCTAATCTATAATTTGTCAGTCATAAAGATTAACATCATTTGGCGAAGGTATGAGATCGGGGAACTCTAGTTTTCAATATTACACTGACTTTTGTTTCTCTGTCTTCAAAATGTGGACCTAGGGCCCAGACTGTAGCAGGAGGAAGGACCAGACTTGTATCGGCCGAGCTGTGTGACAGAAGATGGGGAGGTGTGAGTATGTTTTCTTTATTAACACGAGACAACACTCCACATGCCTTCGGGTGCACACATATTCGTACTTCTCTCCTTTGCCCAGTTCACTCTACTCCGAGGACACTTTTTGGACATGTAGTTGATTGAAAGTTTCCCGCCAAAAAGAAAAAAAATAATTGCCACTCTCACCTGGTTAATTAATTAGATTAAA